GTTCAAGTGATTCTTCTGCCTTAGCCTCCCAAGTAGTTGGGATTATAGGCGCCCGCCACCACACCCAGCTAATTTTTGTATTTTTAGTAGAGACAGGGTTTCACCATATTCGCCAGGCTGGTCTCGAACTCCTGACCTCAGGTGATCTACCCGCTTTGCCTCCCAAAGTGCTCGGATTACAGGCATGAGCTACCGTGCCTGGCCAGTTATTATACATTTTCAGAGACAGGGTCTCCCTCTGTCGCCAGGCTGCAGTGCAATGGCATGATGATGGCTCACTGTAGCTTAACTTCTGGGCTTCAGTGATCCTCCCATCTCAGCTTCCCAAGTATCTGGGACTACAGGCGTGTGCCACCACGCCCGGCCAAAACTGTTTTAGAAAAACATTGAAGACATGACATAATGCTGTACAAAAAATGCAAGACAAGAAAAATTCCACGTATTTTGATCCAAACTTTCTAAAGAAATATATTTTATGATTATTTATTGTGTACTACAGTATATATAATAATACTATATATTTGCACACAGGAAGAAAATGGAAAGATACACATCACCAGAGATAAGCACTATTTCAATTTCCTTCTATGCACCTTTTTGCAACAAAAAATATATAACAAACAAATATTCATTTGCCTGTGTGGGTTTAGTACACATTGCAGCAGCAGGGATGTGGACCAGGCACCCTCACGGCTCCCTCCCCCTCCACGGAACAGTGTGTCTGCAGAAACCCCAAGGCAAGAGGAGGCTAAGCATCCAAGGAAAGCCTGGGCCTGGGCCTTAACCGTAACAGGCAGTGAGTGGAATGCTCTGGATTTCAAAATATTTTCTTGTCAGCTCATCATTTTTCCATCAAGAATTCTAAAATTCCACAGAATGGTTTATACAAAAATCATGAGCCTCACTGGGCCAGGAGTAAGAAGGACTAGCAAGGAGGCGGGGAGAGGGTGACCCTGCTTCTGCGTGGGGGAGGGTTTCCAGAATTCCTGGAATATGCTGTCACCAGTAAGGGGGAAACCACACACCCGCAGCACTAGAGGGAGTATAAGAATGCATCCACTCTTCCCATTGTACAGAGGGGAAACAGAGGCCCAGAGAGGGAAAGCGACTTGTTCAAGGCCGCACAGCAAGTGTGACCAGAATTGAACCTAGAATTTATGGGCGGGACCCAGTTTCTTATTCCTTTGTGTTCTTCCCAGCTCAGTCCAGCCCAGCAGAGAACAGTCATACACTCACAGCCCAGGGTATCTAAAGCATGACCTGAGGGCATGGAGACGCTAGAATGAAAGCTAAAATCAGAAGACAAAGAAGACGGAGCAGGCCGGACTCACACCTGTAATCCCAGCACTTTGGGAGACTGAGGCGGGAGAATCCCTTGAGGCCAGAAGTTTGAGACCAGCCCGGGTAACATAGTCAAACCTTGTCTCTAAAAAAAAAAGAAAAAGAAAAAGAAGAAAACAAGAAGATGGGGCAGCCCTAAATAGAAAATATGGCTGCCCACGGATGCTCATGCCGCCCAGCAGTTTGCCAAACCCAGCCAGAGTCAGTTTCATCTGGAGCCTTGTAGGCTCCACCTTGCTTGTCGCCGCGGAACCATGGAAATGAGACTCAGTCATTAGGGTTTTTTAAAGGCTCCCCATACTATACTCAAGACAGATGCTTCAGGAAGAAAGTTTCTACCCACAGTCCTGACCCCCAACACCGCCTGTGGCCCAGAGAATGCCCAGTAACCTCTGGAGGCTCAGGTTGCTGGGGTTAAAGTGGGAATGAACCACAAAGCCACAGGAAGAGGGGAGGAGAGACCGTGGGACCCACAGGCTCAGCAGCGCCAGGCAGCTCCTCCATGCTGAGCCAGCAGACCCTACTTCACACCTTTCCTCACAGCCTTTCAACCACCCAACAGACAGCTCATCACTGCTCCTCCATTCGTACAGAAACAAATACATAAACCTCACTGAGGAGCCTCCCAAGGAGAAATGACTCACCTCCAGCTGGGTCCCAAACGCCACTCGGAATGGTCTGCAGAGAGAAGCCTAGTGGCTTCAGAAAAGGCTGTGTGTACATCTCCACGGTGTCTGGGTGCCAAAAGCGCCCCTCGTTCTGAGGTTTCACTCTTCCTCATTTTGGGGGGCGGGTGTGGGGGGGCAGTTAAAGCAAGGTCGTTTTTTGTTATTAAGACAGGGTCTGGCTCTGTTGCCCAGGCTGGAGTGCAGTAGTGCTATCATAGGTCATTGCAGCCTCCAAATGCTGGGCTCAGGTGATCCTCCCACCTCAGACTCCCACTTAGCTAGGACTACAGGTATGCACTGCTATGCCCAACTAATTTTTTTTTAACTTTTTTTTTTTTGTAAAGACAGGGTCTCCTTACGGTAGCTGGCTGGTCTCTATCTCCTGGGCTCAGGCAATCCTCCCCCCTCAGCGTCCTAAAGTGCTGGGATTATAGGCCTGAGCCACTACGCCCAACCAAGCATCTTTTCTTTTAAGAAATTATGGTGATGGTTGGCCAGGCGCAGTGGCTCACGCCTGTAATCCCAGCACTTTGGGAGGCCGAGGCGGGCAGATCACGAGGTCAGGAGATCGAGACCATCCTGGTGAACACGGCGAAACCCCATCTCTACTAAAAACACAAAAAAATTAGCCGGGCGTGGTGGCGGGCGCCTTTAATCCCAACTTCTAGGGAGGCTGAGGCAGGAGAATGGCGTGAACCCAGGAGGCGGCGGAGCTTGCAGTGAGCGGAGATCGCGCCACTGCACTCCAGCCTGGGTGACAGAGCGAGACTCTGTCTCTAAAAATAAAAAAGCTGGCAACCTTAATTGGTCCCCAGAATTGTTTTTGAAATTTTACAGACCCGTGAAATCCCAATGTTTAGGAATCGCCCAGTTGTGCACAGGGATGTCAGGCGGGTAGGCAAGGGGAGGATGCGGGAGGAGGGGTCGTGGAGAGAGGCAGGAAGAGTGGAGTGCACCAGGACGGCTGACTGCTAGATACTACTGAGATGTGGTGAGAATCCAAACCAAGGCAGAGACGTTTGGCGTGATGTGCAAGCTCCTGGCTGGGTAGCTGGGTGGGTGGCATGTCTGTCCCCTGGACAAGCAGGGCAGGGAGGTCTGTGAGGGGTGTTATATGTTTGGTTTGGGTCATGCTGAGCACCTGGCACAGGAGGGAGGATCTGGCCAGAAGTCTGGGCCGAGTTGAAGACATGAATCCAGAGCTCGAGACAGGCTTGGCAGGAGACACGGGTGAAAGGCAGTCCTGCTGGCATTTATTGCACCCTTGTCATGTGCCAGGCTCTGTGCTAATTGCTTCTCACCTCATTGAAGACTCACAACCCAGCAAGGCTGGGGTTTGGGTTTTTTGAGGCAGGCATTACTATTCCCACTTGACAAATAAGCTAACTGAGTCTCAGTGAGGTACTTCCCCAGGGTCATGCTGGTCAAGGGCAAGGGCAGCAACTACACCGAATGCTACCTGACTCCAGAGTCAGTGCTCTGCACAAAGTGGCAGGTGATGCAGTAGAAGTGGCGGGGCCCCCAGTGGAATGTTCCAGAAAGCTGCAGAAAACAGGGCGGAGAGGGAATTCGGGGATGCCACATGGAGAAGTGAACAGGGCAAAATCTCTCCAGAAATGTGTAACCAAGGCTCTGTAACCCCAGAATGTCCCACTTGGGAGTGCTGCAGAGAGGAACAAAACAAACTCCTCCAGAATGGACAGCCAAAGAGTTTGAGAAGATAATATACAGCTGGAGGGACCGACTGCTCAGTCCTGGCTTCAGGGCACCCCCTCATGTGCAAATGCAAACCTTTGGCAGTACCTCCTCCAACAGGTGTGATTCCCATTCTTGGGGAATAAAGGAGGGAGTTAAAGGGATGTGTGAGGAGCAAGGAATAATCCCCTTGTGCCTAATGGGCTTTTCCCAGGCATTTTGCCCCATGCCCTCTTTGAAAAGGGGCTCCAGCCTGGCTCAGTGGCTCATGGCTATAAATCCCAGAGCTTTGGGAGGCCAAGGCAGGAGGATCACTCAAGGCCTGTGCAACATAGGGTGACCTCATCTCTGTAAAATATTTTTTAAAAAATTAGCCGGGCATCGTGATGCATGCCTATAGTGCTAGCTACTCAGAGGCTGAGGCAGGAGTTCAAGGCTGGAGTGAGCTATGATTACGCCACTGCACTCCGGCTTGGGCAACAGAGTGAGATCCCATCTCCAAAAAAAAAAAAAAGATTTTGTGGTTCCCCCAGACTCAATGTTGATGTGACAGGGAGAACTCCCATCAGGGGAGGATAAATTCAGAACTTCCGCTTGAGAGAAAGCCGCCAACCACGCGCCCTGTCCACGGGTACCAGCCTGCACAATTTCCATGAGCCGCCGCTGCAGGTGCTGACAGACGTGACCTGGCCTTGCTGGCCAAAGCAGGGCTACGACAGAGTGACTCTGGGACCCCCAGCTTCATGCAAAAGGCTGTCCTGGGCTACAGTCTGTGCGGGGGCCAAGCCCCAGCCTCAAGGGCACCTTCAGCACCTGCTGAAGTCCAGCCTCCAGAGCCGCCCTCTATGGCATTCCACTTCCACTCCTACAGGGGCCCACCAAGGCCGGCCTCCACCTGTCCCACTCAGACCACCCACCCACACATGTGTCAGCCTCACCAAGCAGCTCCCTGCCACCCTCCCCTTGCTCACAGTTCCGTGCCTTTGTACCTGCTGTTCCCTCTGCCTACAATCCCCATTTTCTATCTGGGACCCTCCTACACATCCTTTAAGACACAATTCAATTGTCACCTCCTCCATGAAGCTTTTCCTGCTATCTCTAAACCGCCCCAACAGAACAGTCTGCTTACAGCCTTATCGTGCTGTAAGCACCATCTATTACATATTAGATATACTACGGTGGGGCATGCGCCCTCCTCCAGCCCCCTCAAGCACATACTAAAACCACCAGGAAAGTTTCCTCAAACCGCCCACTCCATTTCCTCCTCCAGACTCTAACGCAGTGAGTTCAGGATGGCCTCCAGGATACTGATTCTGGGATGCCTCTGGTCCCACTCTCCTCCTCCCAAGCAGCAGCACCATCCTGTAATTGCTGATCCACTTATATGTGCAGTATGCTTTAGCATTTCTAAAGAATATTTTTTCATCAGACTCACAAAAACTCTCTGAAAGGAACAAAATTGGTGCTATCATCCCTACTTTACAGATGACAAGACTGAGGCTCTGAGAGCTGAACTAACTTTACCAAGGTCATACAACCTGACTCCCAGGTGCTTCCCAGGACCTCTGTGTCTCCCAAAGGCCACCACTCCCACACCTAGGCTGGGAGGCAGGTGCATCCTGTCTGTCTGGGCCTTGAGAGCTGAAGGTCCTTGGGGTGGGTAAGCTCACCCCACACGGTGATACAGTGTCTAGTACACTGACGCATCCCTAACAGCCTAATAACTGTGGTCCATAACAAACACCTCACCTAGTGTTCTAACCTTCCTCTTATTTTTCAGAACTGTCTGCCAATTTCCAACCTGAATCCCCCTCTTGCATCAGAATCATCCAAGTTCCTCTTGCTCTGCCCTCAGCAGAGAGGGGAGCAGCAGGTTTCTTTCTTGGATATATTCACCACTGGGTTTTGAAGACTTCCCCTGCCTCAAACCACATATGTATAGGGTGGAGGGCTCAAAGTCTTCCGCTCCTTACGTGAGAAGAAACCAACTGTTCTGTCTGAGCTCCCACAGAAGCTGTGTCTATGCCACAGAAGTATGTCCACCCGAGGCTGGAAAGTGAAGACCATACCCAGTGCTGGCCAGACAGCCCCCACCACACCATCTTCCAAGAGAGGGAGGGTGTCAGCAACTTAAAGAGGGACATCCACAAATGAGACCAGATTCAGAGGAAGGGGGCCAGACAGGTAAAGAATTCACAGACCATCCCATGTAACAGCCTGGGAAGAGGAGCCCAAGCAGATGCAAGTCTGGGAACTCCAAAAGAATTCAGAGAGAGCAGACTAGGAAATTTGTCATCGGTTATCCCTGAGGACAGAGCAAGGGCCAGTGAGGCCAGAGTTAGGTTCACATAAGAAAGAACTTTCTATTTAAATAGATATTTCTCCAAAGATACATGAATGGCCAAGAAGCACATGAAAAGATGCTCAGCCTGGGCGTGGTGGCTCACGCCTGTAATACCAGTACTTTGAGAGGCCTAGACGGATGGCTCACTTGAGGTCAGGAGTTGAGAGCAGCCTCGCCAACACGGCAAAACCCCATCTCTGCTAAAAATACAAAATTTAGCTGGGTGTGGTGGTGCACGCCAATCCCAACTACTCGGGAAGCTGAGGCACGAAAATCACTTGAACCCAGGTGGTGGAGGTTGCAGTGAGCCAAGATCGCCCCACTGCACTCCAGACTGGGTGACAGAGTGAGACTCTGTCTCAAAAAAGACATTAATCATTAGGGAAATGCAAATCAAAACCACAATGAGATAACACTTCACATCCGCAAGGAGGACTATTGCAGCAAAATGAAAAACAACAAGTGTTGGCAAGGATGTGGAGAAACTGGAATCCATATACACTCTGGTGTAAGTGTAAAATGGTGCAGCCACTGTGGAAAACGGCATGGCATTTCCATGAAAATTTAAAATTAGAATTACCATATGATACCACAAATATACTTCTGAGTATATACACACAAAAGAACTGAAAGCAGGAATCTAAACAGATATTTCACAGCCACGTTTATAGCAGCATTAGGCACAACCACCAAAATGGGGAAGCAAACCCAGTGTCCCCTGACGAACGAATGAATCAACCAAGTATGGTGTCTCTACACAATGGAATAGTATTCAGCCTTAAAAAGGGAGGAAAGTCTGACACATGTTATAACATGAATAAATCTTGAAGATACTATGCTAAGTGAAGTAAGTCAGTAACCAAAAGACAAATACTCTCTGATTCCACTTATTTGAAGTACCTGGAGTGCAGCCTGGGCAACATGGTGAAACCTTGTCTCTATAAAAAATACAAAAATTAGCCAGGCATGGTGGTGCATACCTGTAGTCCCAGCTATTTGGGAGGCTGAGGTGGGAAGATTTCTTGAGCCCAGGAGGTCAAGGCTGCAGCGAGCATGATCGCACGACACTGCACCCCAGCCTGGGTGGTAGAGGGAGAACCTATCTCAAAAAAAAAAAAAAAAAGAAAAGAAAAGAAAAAAGAAAGAAAAAGAGAGAGGGAGAGGGCCAGGTGCAGTGGCTCACGCTTGTAATCTCAGCACTTTGACGGATCACTTGAGGTCAGGAATTCAAGACCGGCCTGGCCAACGTGGTGAAACCCCATCTCTACTAAAAATAAAAAAATTAGCCAGGCGTGGTGGCAGATGCTTGTAATCCCAGCTACTCAGGAGTCTGAGGCTGGAGAATCGCTTGAACCCGGGAGGCAGAGGTTGCAGTGAGCCAAGATCACGACAATGCACTCCAGCCTGGGTGGGCGACAGAGTGAGACTCAGTCTCAAAAAGAAAAAAAAAAAAAAAAAGAGAGAGAGAGAGAGAGAGAAAGAGACAAAGGCAGGCAGGCAGGCAGGCATGCAAGCAAGCAAACAGTCAAGCAAATGAAGTACCTAGAGTAGTCAAACTCACAGAGAAAGCAAGTAGAATGGTGGTTGCCATGAGCTGGGGGAAGGAGTAGGTGAAAGGAGAGTTACTGTTTAACAGATTCTGAGTTTCAATTTTACAAGATGAAAAAAGTCCTGGAGAAGTAAAGTGGTGATGGTTGCACAACGATACTTAATGCCACAGAGCTGTACACTTAAAAATAATATAAATGGGCAGGGCGTGGTGGCTCATGCCTGTAATCTCAGCACTTTGGGAGGCTGAGGTGGGTGAATCACCTGAGGTCAGGGGTTCAAGACCAGCCTGACCAATATGGTGAAACCTCATCTCCACTAAAAATACAAAAATTAGCCAGGCACGGTGGCGGGTGCCTGTAGTCCCAGCTACTCAGGACGCTGGGATAGGAGAATTGCTTGAACCCGGGAGGTGGAGGTTGCATTGAGCTGAGATCACGCCACTGCACTCTAGCCTGGGTGACAGAGCAAGACTCCATCTCAAAAAATAATAATAATAATATAAATGGTAAATATTATATTATATATATTTTACAATTTGAAAATTTTTAGACGAGGAAACTTTCTAACAAAATGAGATTGCTTCAAGCTGCTTATGACTATCTAAACTAAGCGGCCGGAATAAAAGGTAAAATAGGGGTCAGCCTATATCTGGAATTCCTATTCCTCTGCATGATGTTAGAGCTGATTTCCGCCCCCCACCTTAAAAAGGCCCCCAAAGCCATACTGATGCTCAGCATTCAGATAAGTCAGTGTATTTGGCTCAAAGTATACACAAATCAAAGAAAACCATGGACAGGTCAATATGATCTACCCTGCAGGATGCACTGATTTATTAAAATGCTCTAAGATATAGTAGTTAGGCCCCATTCCTTGTCCAGGCCTGAGCAGGAAAAAAGCTTTTGAGGAGAGGGCCCAATAGAAAGCTGCCTCCTGTTCTTGATGAACAGGGAAAGTGCCAACAAAGATGGAAGCTTGTACTTGATATTACTGCATCCAACTAGGATTACATCCTAAGCCCCAGCCTACTCCTCTGGCTCTCCCCAGGACAGGAAAGACAAGGGACAAGGACCCCACAGAACAAAGCCAGCCAGGAGGAACAGCCATCACCCCACACCATCCAATCTGGCAGAAGAATGTGCAGCTGACAGATGAAAGCCTTCTCTGCCTGGGGTCAGGGCTGGGAGAAAGTGGCAGGGGTAGGGATGGGACTGATGTCAGTTCTGCCTTTTCCTTTTTATCCATACTTACTCAAATACATGGGTATCTTATTCTTTTTTTTTTTTCCTAACTGCGAGTTATTTAAGAATGATTAATTTGGTTCAACTATGCCACAGGGCTAGAAACATTTGACCCCAAAGTGAGCCAGGAGGCCATTCTACAACAAAAACACTGGGAAAAATAAAACAGATTGCTACAAGAGGTAATAAGCTCTCTGGCTCTGGAAGCATTCAAGCAGAGGCTGGCTGACCACTGTCTGGGTTGTGGTCAGGGAGATTCCTGCATTCTAGGTCTGCTTAATCCTAACCTTTCATAGCAGGGTGTTGATAGATAATGTCTCAAGTGGTTTTATCGGGAAAAGAAAAAAAAGCCATATAAGCTTGTTGTTTAGAGTTAAAGAGGGCACCAACAGAGGAACTAGAAACAGAAAGAGTCAAGCAACTTCCTTAGAAAGCAGGACTAGAAATGGAAGGCATGGGACAAGGGACCACTGCTCAGTGTTATAAGCTGTTTATTACTTCTTTGCCACGTGCATGTATTAATTTGATTACAATTTTAAAAGTTTAGGCCGGGCGCGGTGGCTCACACCTGTAATCCCAGCACTTTAGGAGGCTGAGACGGGTGGATCACGAGGTCAGGAGTTCAAGAGCAGCCTGGCCAAAATAGTGAAACCCCATCTCTACTAAAAAATACAAAAATTAGCTGGGCGTGGTAGCGTGCGCTTATAGTCCCAGTTACTCGGGAGGCTGAGGCAGGAGAATGGTGTGAACCCGGGAGGCAGAGTTTGCAGCGAGCCGAGAGCACGTCACTGCACTCCAGCCTGGGTGACAGAGCGAGACTCTGTCTCAAAAAAAAAAAAAAAAATTTTTTTTTTTTTAAAGTTTAGCCAGGTGCGGTGGCTCACACCAGTAATCCCAGCACTTTGGGAGTCTGAGGCTGGTGGATTGCTTGAGGCCAAGAGTTCAAGACCAGCCTGGGCAACATGGTGAAACCCTGTCTCTACAAAAAAATTTTTTAAAATTAGCCAGGCGTGGTGGCACATGCCTGTGGTCCCAGCTACTTAGGAGACTGAGGCAGGAGGATTGCTTGAACTCAGGAGGCAGAGGTTGCAGTGACCTGCAATTACACTGCTGTACTCCATCCTGGGTAACAAGGAGAAACCCTGTCTCCAAAAAAAAAAAAAAAATTTAAGTTTAAAAAAATTTCCATGGGGTTTTTAAAAATATATATTGATGATGCAGTTACTAAGTTTCCAAAAGTAATTGACAACATGGGGAATATCACGTTTATACATATAAATACACACACACATACATGTACCTAGAAAAAGGAAAGCAGCATGCTAACATGATCTCACTGGTTTTCTCTAGGGAGTAAAACTACTGGTGATAATTATTCTTCATATTTTTCTGGAATTTTTCATGTTCTACAACAAACATGCTAATTTCAACAGTCCTCAAATGGCAATTATTATTACCTTTAACATTTGAAAAAAATAAAAAGCATGAGTGACTGCCCTAGATTAAATACGGCTAACTTCGCATCCCTCCAGCAGTGGCAGGATCCCCACCCGCCTGCCCTGAGTCTGGGCTGGCAGCTGAGGATGAGAAGCCACAGGGAGAACCAAGGGCCCCGGCCACCAGCCAGCACCATCGTCAGACATGTGACCAAGGCCACCTCAGACCATCCCAATCTGATGGCAGCTGCATTCCTGATTCAGGCAAGACCAGCAGAAAAGCTGCCTAACTGACTGTATTTTTGGAATCTCAAGCAGATAAATGATTGCCGTTTTAAGCTGCTAGCTGTTTATTTCTTTTGAGACGGAGTTTCGTTCCTGTCTTCCAGGCTGGAGTGTAATGGTGTGATTTCGGCTCACTGCAACCTCTGCCTCCCGGGTTCAAGAGATTCTCCTGCCTTAGCCTCCTGAGTAGCTGGGATTATAGGCAACCGCCACCATGTCCAGCTAATTTTTTGTACTTTTAGTAGAGACGGGGGTTTCACCACGTTGGCCAGGCTGGTCTCGAAATCCTGACCTCAGGCAATCCACCCGCCTCAGCCTCCCTCCCAAAATGCTGGGATTACCAGTGTGAGCCACCGCACCTGGCCTAAGCCACTAGTTTTGAGGCGACTTGTCACATAGCAATGGATATCTGATGCAATGACAGTTGAAACACCCCTTCCTTCCTCAGTGCCCACCCCAGTACCTGTCCAAGGCGTGCCCATGGCCTCCGGGCTCCACTCGCTCCACTCGCCTTGCCCGAACTCCTCCTGGGCACGAAGCTGCACCACGTGCCTCAGGCCGCTCCAGGCGTCGTGGATGACACAGTGATGCTGGAGGTCCTTGACCTGAGGGCGGGGGCACAGTGACTGGGGAGGGGTCCAGGGTGGTGCTGGGCAGGCATCTCCCCAGTGGGTTGGTGCCTTGACCAGCCCTGTGCTTCAGCTGGCAGAGGCCTCTAGAGGCTCCCACCACCCTGGAGGCTCCACTAGTGAGGGGTTGCCCTCAGGGCCCACGGGAGCTAAATCAGAAAGTCCCTGCCCTACCCATGCACTACAGAATCCTGCAAGCCACAATGCTTGACATGTTTATAGCCCAAATCCCTTCCCACATTGCTCTCCTCACAAGCAAGCCTGGGAAGAGGAGACTGGCCTAGCATTATCCTTCTCATTTAATAAATGATATATCACCAAGGCTCAGAAAGCTTAAAACATTTATCCAAAGCAACGAAGGTAGCCAATTTTGAAGCAGGACCTAGAGCCTATGGTTTTCTTTTTAGTACTCTTTCTTTCTTTCTTTCTCTCTTTTTGAGATGGAGTCTCACTCTGTCACCCAGGCTGGAGTGCAGTGGTGTGATCTCCACTCACCGCAACCTCCACCTCCCGGGTTCAAGGGATTCTCCTGTCTCAGCCCCCGAGTGGCTGGGATTACAGGCGTGCACCACCACGCCTGGCTAATTTTTCGTAATTTTAGTAGAGACGACATTTCACCATGTTGGCCAGGCTGGTCTCCAACTCCTGACCTCACGTGATCCGCTCACCTTGGCCTCCCAAAGTGCTGGGATTACAGGCGTGAGCCACCATGCCTGGCCTCTAGTATCCTTTCTACTATGCCTAAGCATCTGGGGGCACCTCTCTGACCAGAAGTAAAACATAAATTTACCATCCATGTTGTGAATGTCTTTGACCGTTCAGCTCGATATCTGAGCTCAAACCGTAGTCTGTAGAAAGATGAGTTCCAGGAGTGGGGGTCTTGCCAGGTGACACTGAGCCAGCGGGGGTTTCTGGCCACGGCAGTGACTGTGATGTTGGCAGGCGGATCAGGCTGCACTGTGGGAAAAGGGAGCATGGCTCCTATGCAGCAGCAAATATAGTGTAGAGAAGCCCATGTAGGCTGAGTTCCCAGCAGGCAGGGCCCCACCCAGCCCCGTTCACTCCCCAGGCACAGCTCCACAAGGGCCTGCTTCATCATCGCCACACCTCCCGGCAAGCAACGCCCAAAAGCCACCAACTCACCAAATCCCTCAACCACCCCTTCCCTGCCCCTCTGAGAAGTCGATAAGAAGGATTAAATCAAAAATGAAGGAAACTGCTGGAGAGGGGGAAGAGCTTACGTACAGATTCCACAACCCTGAAAGGTCTGAGTTTTGCTGAACTTGCTCCCGACACTACTGGCGACGCACATGGACACTATGTAGAAAGAGCTGTCTCCCTCCGGGACTGCCAACTGGCAGGAGAACTTCTGGGACTCCTGGGAATACTGGCACGGCTCCTGGAAGTCTTCGGCCGGACTGTTCTGACTGTTAGACACAAAACAAGGGCAGGGCTCGCCTGTCAGTTTCGCATAGACTCAAGAGCGGAGAGAAGGGGGAAATGGAATCCCGGGGTTTGAATCCCAGCTCCAGACTCATGAGCCCTGTATCTCTAAGTCTTCTTTTCTTATTTACAAACAGGAATATTAATACTACCTATCTCGTAGGGGTTCTGTTAAGATTATTATTATTTTTTTTTTTTTGAGATGGAGTCTCACTGTGTCGCCCAGGCTGGTGTACAGTGGTGCAATCTCGGCTCACTGCAACCTCTGCCTCCAGGTTCAAGAGATTCTCCTGCCTCAGCCTACCGAGTGTGCCCGGCTAATTTTTGTGTTTTTAATAGAGATGGGGTTTCACCATGTTGCCCAGGCTGTTGGCAACATGTTGTACCACGTAAGCCATCATGCCTGGCTGGTTCTGTTAAGACTGAAAAATAAGGGCTGGGCGCGGTGGCTCGTGCCTGTAATTCCAGCACTTTGGGAGGGCAAGGAGGGCAGATCATGAGGTCAGGAGTTCGAGACCAACCTGGCCAATACGGTGAAACCCTGTCTCTACTAAAAATACAAAAAAAAAAAAATTAGCCTGGCGTGGTGGCACATGCTTGTCCCAGTTACTCGGGAGGCTGAGGCAGAAGAATCGCATGAACCCAGGAGGCAGAGGTTGCAGTGAGCAGAGATCGCGCCACTGCACTCCAGCCTGGGCGACAGAGTGAGACTCTATCTCAAAAAAAAAAAAAAAAAAGAGCAATAAATGTAAAATCTACAGATGAGGAAACTAGCTGGATTTATAAATATATATAAACATGTAGCCTAGCGCCTGGCACGAAGGGTGAGGGAAGCTAGGCTGGAGGGCTCAGCCAGTCACTCAGGCCTTGGTGGGCTGGCCAGCTCTGGTCTCCTGCTGGGCCTGTGCTCTTGGCACTGTAGGGGATGTAGAAATGAATAGAGAGGCCCCACCCTGGCTTTAAGGCACTAACAAAAAAGACCTGTCCTCAGATGACTAGACACCCAGCAGAAACGCCACTCCAGAGACTCAAAAAGTGCTAGAGGGGTTCTGGCAGGTGAGTCCAGAAAAGAATTCTGGGTGACTGAAGACGTTCGAGGTGAGTCAGTCACCATCCCACCTGGCCTGGAAACCTAAGGTTTCACCCTCTTATGACACATGTGGGGATATGAGGCCACGTCAGCCACTCACCATCTGGCTGGGGTGATGAGTCTGCCATCTCTGACTTGGGTTCGAACCCTGGGCTCCTGCTGAGTCCAGCACATGGGACAAACCCAACCTTTCCAGGCTGAGTTAAAGCCCCCTTTCTCCTCCCCACAACACCACCCAGGCTTCCACCCAGCCACAAAGGCAGGGTCACCGACTGCTTTACGTGTGTGCCCAGGCGGGGTCAGAGGGCCGGGGCTCAGTCTTGTTGGCCTGCGTCTCTCCCACTGCCCCAGCATCACGCCTGGTCCAAGGCAGAGGCTGAACTCGCCCATGCCTGTGGAAGAAGGAGTGAATGGTGCTGCAATTGGGCCAGGGTATGAAAGCAGACACACAAGAGAAAAAAGCAGAGAAAAAGCAGAGCTCCCAGTAATCCCTTTCCAGGGGCCTGTCTCTTCCAGGCCCTGCAGTGGTCTGAGGTCCGGGTGGGGCCTCAGTGCGGGCTGGGGCCCCTGAGGCTCTCGCAGCTACTTCCCCTGCTCTTTCCTCACTTCAAAGGTGCCCAGTGGCCATGCTGACTCTTCAAAGCAGATGGAAGCAAAGGCTCGAGGCTGCTCAGGAGAAGGACAAGCACTGCAACACGGACACTGCACTCTCTCCCACTCCTGCTGTCAACATGGAAAGTATTCCAGTCAAGCCGGGCGCGGTGGCTCACGCCTGTAATCCCAGCACTTTGGGAGGCCGAGATAGGTGGATCACCCTAGGTCAGGAGACCAGCCCAGCTAACATGGTGAAACCCCATCTCTACTAAAAATACAAAGATTAGCCGGGCGTGGTGGCGTGTGCCTGTAATCTCAGCTACTCAGGAGGCTGAGGCTGGAGAATCACTGGAGCCCAGGAGGCGGAGGTTGCAGTGGGCCGAGATCATGCCACTGCACTCCAGCCTGGGCAACAGAGCGAAACTCCATCTCAAAAAAAAAAAGTATTTCATTTGAAGTGTCAGACGTGACAGAGATTTCCACAGGCTGGCCTGGGAAGTTGCCAGCCACCGTCTCTATCCTGCCTAATCCTGTCTATGGTACAAGCCTTTGAGGTACAAACAAGGCGTATCCTTCGCTGGACTGTGAAGCTACCCAGGCTTGGGGCATGAGCTGACAGTGCTGATGGCAGCTGCATCACTCACAGATGGGTAATCCGCACTTTTCATCATAGAGGACAGAACAAAAATAAGACTGCCGGGCGGCCCAGTAACTCTATGGAAACAGACCCAAGTGGGAGCCGAACCACCCTGCTGAAGTCACTACTCTGGCTTTCTGATGCAGTAGTCCTGCCTTATCTGAGGTTTTGCTTTCCAAGATTTCGGTTACCTGTGGTCAACTGTGGTCCAAAAATATTAAATGGAAAATTCCAGAAATAAGCACTTCGGAAGTTTTAAACTACCCCCTGTTCTGAGAAGTGTGATAAGATTTCATGCCGTCCCGCCCAGGACGTGAATCATCGCTTTGTTCAGCATTCCTGCGCTGTACATGCTACTCGTCGCTCGTCCTGACATCCACCGCCATCATCATGGCTCGGTGATCCAGAGTCACCCAAAACAGGTGATCCTCCTTCTGACACATGGTCAGAAAGTCCTAGTAGCCTAACACCAAGTCACAATGCCTACATCATTCACCTCACTTCATCCCATCATGCAGGCATTTCACGACCTCACATCATCACAAGAAGGGTGAGTACAGTAATAAGAGATTTTGAGAGAGAGACCACATTCGCATAACTGTTATTACAGTATATTATTATCATTGTTCTATGCTATTATTATTAACTTCTTACTGTACCTAACTTATAAATTAAACTATCATAAGTACATATCTATAGAAAAACATAGTATATATAGAGTTCAGCACCATTTGCAATTTCAGGCATCCACTAGGGGTCTTGGAATGTGTCCTCCTTGCCACTGTATTCTGATGACTGATAGCTCAAAATCAATTGTAAACCTCTGGACTGGGGAGACGGTGGCTCTGGGATGGAGACCGGCAAAACCGCAGAGGCAGATTTGTTTTCAGCATCTTCTACCTCCTCTACATGCATGCCTGAACCCATCCCAAGTCTTCCCACGTTAAGCCGTCTTCCTGTGATGATGCAGGGACCCTCAGGCACCCTCAGGCAGGCGTGACTTCTTGCCCCATGGCCCCTAGCTCCCTCTCCCCTGCCCATCACCGCTTTCTCTCTCGTGCCTTTATCATGGAAATAGCCTGATATGCCCACAAGGGCCCAGACACTGATAAGAGGCTGGCTGTGCTACCCTCTCCTAGGGACATTTGCATGTTTTTCAGAGCAACCTTCGGACTTTGAATGAAATCAGACAGACTGGGACTGAATTCTCAGCAGAACCACTTACTAGTTAAGTGACCCAAACCCATTAATCAGTCTCTGGGCCTCAGTCTCTCCATCTGTTAAGTGAGAAAAATAACGCCCACTTCCCATAGCTGTTGTGATAACAGTGAATAGGACAAGGTTCCAAGCACAAGCACAGTGCCTAGCTCAGGGGGGCAGTCAAATGTAAATCTCAGTTTCCTCTCATCTCCTCTTCCTCAGCCTGAAGGAATTACTTCCTAATGATAACGTTTTGAAATCACCTGAACCAGCCCCTCTCTGGGGGCCTCGCAAAGGAGGGAGCCGACATGCACCCAGCTCAGCCCAAGATACTTACAACTTCCTCACCAACAGCACAGCCTTGGTCGTCGGAGATGGGGTGCTCCGAGGACCCCACTCACAAACAACGTTGCTGAGGGGGCTCTTCCGGAAGCAGGAGAGCTGGGGCTCCTCGGGGGGAACTGAAAGGAGAGCATCACAGGTGTGAGCAGGCCGGCAGGGATCCTGGGGCACACCCGACCTCGCAGGCAGGGCAGCCTCCCTTGAAGGGAACGCATGGCTAGGGGCCAGTCCTGGGGCCAGTCAGGACCAGACACCATGGCCACACTTCGCCACACACGAATGGAATCGCAGCTTGGAAATTAAAGGACACCAAAGACCTCATGTCAGTCTGGGACACGCATCCGGGACAGGGGAAGGGAAGCACCTCAGGGCCAACTTGTCTGAAGAGGAGATAGGATGATCGGAAAAAACGGGCTTTGGAGTCACACAGACCTGGCTGTGTGGCCTTGGGCAAGTCGTAGCCGCTCTTCAGTTTCCTCATGTATAAAATAAACTGATGATAATGTAATGATGATGGCAATGATGATAAGCCTGCTTTCCCTGACAAGGCTGCTGAAGGATTATAAGAGATACAAAGAAGAAAGTGCCTTGGCATAGGGCTTGGCACACAGGGCACTGGTTCCAGGAAGTCTTTATCTACGTGTGAGGGAGCTAAGAACTTGCTAATTCTAAAAAAAATAAGAATAGCTAATTTGAGAGCTTAGGATGTGCTATACAGACTTTTTAGCACCATATGTGTATGATACACACATACACACACACACATAGGCAAATTCACATATACCCCCTTTGCAACAACTCTAAGGTAAGGTAATAAAATTAACCTTATTTTGCCAAAGATGACACTGAGGGGCAGAGAAGTTAAGCTGTATGTGAAGGAGCAGGATTTAAACCCAGGCTGCCTGACTCCGGGCCCCAGGCTATTCACCAGTTCACCGGAAGTCCTAACTCCCAAAGCCAATGTTTCCCATCAGTCAGACGCTCCCACCCAGCAGCTGTCTTTGCCGGCATCTGGGTGGCAGACATTGGTGGGCCTTCCCCAAAATTCTTGCACCAAGGAAATGGCGGGAGTTTAAAGGCTCAGACAGGGACTGTCTGGAATGCACAGAGCCTCATTTCTTATGAGAACTATCTCCAGGAGCTCTGAGGCACAACTCACCATCCACCAGCAAGTGCACAGTCCCAGCCGGGCGGCCGGCCCGGTAGCATGAATAGTTTCCAGAGTCATGGAGCTGCACCGACCTCAGCAGCAGCCTCCTTCCCACGCCAGCCCATCTGCTGAGGTGGGAGCCTGCAGCTGGCTTCCTGAGAACCCAGTGAACAGTGGCATTGTCTTCCGGCTCTGCCCCTGGGCAGGTCAGAGTCACGCTGTCTCCTGGCAGACTGGTCAGCACACCTCTCGCCACCTCTGGAAGAGGGAGAAGACACTCGGTGAGCCCATAGCCACTGAAGAAGGGGCTTCGTTCTGGTCTGAGGAAGCCACGAGAGGCCTCAGTGATAATCATGAAGTGGTCCAGGCTACCATCACCTCTGCCTGGATTAGGGCAGCAGTCTCCTGGTGGCCTCCCCAACCTGGTCCTCACCATCCAGCTGCCTGGGAGAGCCTTCTGAAGCTACAGTCCAGCCGCCCCACTCCCTGGATTAGAAAACCCTTCAAGGGCCTGCCACCATCCACAGGATGAAGTCCGAGCTCCTCAGCGTGGCCCGCAGGGCCCTGCTGTCCTTGGAGGTCTCATCTCTCCCCACTCCTTAGAAGGTGTGGAGCTCTCCCCTCAGCTCCCGTAGCTCTCCTCCTCACTCGTTCTTCACACATCATCCCCTCGACAACTCCTCCTATTCTAGGTCTTGGCCTAAACATCGTTTCCGGTCCCTCAGCTGCACTAGGCCCTCATTCTGCACTACGTCGCCCACACGCTGCCATGTAATTACCAATTCCGTGTCTCCCTTTCCCTCAAGACTCCAAGCACCACAGGAATAGGCACCCTGCTCTGTTGCTCTCTGTTACATTCCAGTGCCCGGGACGTTGCCTGGCCCATGGCAGGGGCCTGCTGAGCGCTTGATGAATGTGTGAATGAATGGATGCCCTTAGGAATGAATGCCAGGCACCCAAGTGCACATGTACACAGGAGGCCTCCGAATCGCAGGGTATTCATGGCAGAATGCCTATTGTACAGTTGGCAACCAAGGCACAGAAGGATCAGGAGACTGGCCCAGATGCACAGCTGGGGTAGAAACCAGAGCTTCTGGTTCCCTGTTCCACGCTCCCTCCAGTACTCTACATCTACTACAGCAATGCTGTGTTTACTCTAGGGACCAAATTGGAAGGTTAAAAAACAAAATGCATTATCTACCCCTTGAAAAAAAATTGGGTGTATTCTACTACTCAAGAAAAAGGAGATTAAAGATTAAAGGAACAAGTACACTTTTTTTGAGTAGCAGTTATAGATTCATAGAATCTAAGATAAAAATTAGCCCCACCACCTTGCACTCATTTATTAACCAATCAATCAAATTAGTCCAACCAGCTAAGGAAACAGAGGCCAGGGAACACAGCCAGTTTTCATGTAAGCACACTTGGTCCTTCGAACCAAATACATAACCGTTTATTAGCAAGCAGTAGCAATATATCTGGCCAAAGATTTCAGAAAGGACCAGCAGCTGCTGAGTGCCTGACCTCACCTCCTGGCCCATGCTCCTGGGACTCAGAAGCAGCACGAGGCTCCCTGCCTGGCCTGCAAAACCCTTCTTGTTTATGAGGCGTTATCTCATACTTAGCAGACTGTCCTTCCTTTCACCTCATCCAAGATGGCTGTCAGAGGAGGGAGTAAGGATCAGTGACTCCCAGGCAGATAACACCCCCAAAGCTGGTGAGGTTGGAGCCCACACTAGCTACTGGCCACAGTCCAGGGAGAGGGACATAGACATCAAAGGGGCAGAGATAGCTCTGCCTGGCATTGGGCCCTGCCTAGCTATACAGATACCCTTCACACTTCCCTCTCACTTTCATACCTGGAGCCAGAGTCCTCCTCCCTGGCACCCTCTACCCGGAGGCTGACAGAAAAGGGACAGATACAAGGCCATCATGGCAGCCGGTCATCTAAGGTTTTCTCTGGTCACCAACAGGGCCCTGGACCTTGGGTAAGAAAGGTGGTTGAATTGTCACCATGCAGCCAGGGGAGTTTGGGCAGGTTCCTAAGACCCCTATGGCCTTACTTTCTCCCACAGTGAACAAGTCCTATGTTTGATAAACATTCAAGGAGGCTGTAGCAGCCAGGCACTGGCGAGGAAGACACAATCAGGCATCCCAGAGACCTGCCCTTGAGAGATGGGAGACGCATTCGCTGCTGCAAGGCCGGGACACAGTATACAGTACTCTCCTGGTCCTCAGCAAAATCTGAGTCCCAGCTGGGCCTCGCACCTGTAATCCCAGCACTTTGGGAGGCTGAGGCGGGTGGATCACCTGAGGTCAGGAGTTCAAGACCAGCCTGGCGAACATGGTGAAACACCATCTCTACTAAAAACACAAAAATTAGCTGGCCATGGTGGTGCATGCCTGTAATCCTAGCTACTCAAGAGGCTGAGGCAGGAGAATCGCTTGAACCTGGGAGGCGGAGGTTGCAGTGAGTCGAGATTGTGCCACTGCACTCCAGCCTGGGTGATAGAGTGAGACTCTGTCTCAAAAAAAAAAAAAAAAAAAAATCTGAGTCCCTAGAAGGTGAAGTCCACTGAGGGCAATAAGTAGTGGACTGCTACTGCCCAGAGGGCTTGAAAGGGTTATAAAAAGCCCCAACTACAATATAGCTTTCACATAGAATTTTCAACAATATATTTTTAGCATTGCAAATATCATTTTTTAATATATTACATAATCCATGCAAATTCATATATGTAATGTATGTAAAAGCTACATACATAAAAGTTAATTTAGGAAGCATAAAACACCCAGGAGAGCCCACCAACCTAACTTTTAAAAATAGGTTCACTACCCCTGGATCCCTAAATTTTTCTTAACTTTGCTTCATTTTTGAGCTTCATATAAATGGTTTGAATATAGTCTTCTGCTGTGATGTGCTTTTCTCTTTTCTTTTTTTTTTGCGGGGGAAGGGACAGTCTCACTCTGTCACCTAGGCTGGAGTGCAGTGGCGCAATCTCAGCTCACTACATCCTCAACTTCCCATGTTCAAGCAATTCTCCTGTCTCAGAATCCCAAGTAGTTGGGACTACAGGCACACATCACCACATCTGGCGAAAATTTTTTTTTTTTTTTGTATGTTTAGTAGAGATGGGGTTTCACCATATTGGTCAGGCTGGTCTTGAACTCCTGATCTCAGGTGATCCACCCGCCTCTGCCTCCCAAAGTGCTGGGATTACAGGCGTGAGCCACCACGCCCAGCTGGTGCTTTTCTCGAACTTCCTTTGTGTGTGTGTGTGTGTGTGTGTGTGTGTGTGTGTTGTGATACAGAGTCTCAGTCTGCTGCCCAGGCTAGAGTGCAGTGGCACAATCATAGCTTTTTGCAACCTCAAACTCCTGGGCTCAAGCAATCCTCCCACCTTAGCCTCCTGAGTAACTAGGACTATAGGTGCATACCACCATGCCCGGCTAATTTTTTAATTTTTACTAGAGACAAGTTCTCAATATATTGTCCAGGCTGGTCTTTAACTCCTGGCCTCAAGCCATCCTGCCGCCTTAGCCTCCCAAAGTGCTGGGATTACAGGGATGAGGCATCGTGCCCGGCTGCTCTTTTTTTTTTTTTTTTTTTTCTTTTTCTTGAAACAGGGTCTCACTCTGTCACTCAGGCTGAAGTACAGTGGCATAATTACAGTTCACTGCAACTTCAAATTCCTGGGCTCAACTGATCCTCCCACCTCAGTTTCCCAAGTAGCTGGGACTACAGGTACATGCTACCATGCCTGGCTATTTTCTTTTCTTTTTTTTTTTTTTTTTTGAGACATGAAGTTTCACTATATTGCCAGGGCTGGTCTCAAACTCCTGGCCTCAAGCAATCCTCCCACCTGGGCCTCCAAAATGTTGGGATTACAGGCATGACCACCTGGCCCGGCCTCATTGATATGTTTCTGTGATTCACTGACATACATAGTTAATTCAGTTTCACTGCTATGTAGTATTCTGTTGTGTGACCCTATCATTCTCTCACTGAGGGAGGTTTGGGGTCATTCCCAGTGTTTTGCCACATCAAAGAGGGCGGCTGTTAACTTTCTCATGACTCAGTGCACTTGCCCAGGAACTTCCCTAAGAGTGAAACTGCTGGTGTTGGCGTGTGTGTGATATGTGCCCTTTTCCTTCACAACTGAACACACGGTCCAGTGCGTTGAACTCCAGTGGGCACCTGATGGAGGCAGCAGTTTACCCATCCAGTCCACATCTTGAAGTCCATCAGTGCCTGAATGTGGTTACGTATGGAAGATGCAACGACACTTCTAATCAATGCACCAATATTTCCACTTTTCCATTTTCCACTTGATAAAGCAGCTGTCAAGATAAAGCCTAACATGGACTTCAAGTTCCTGCATAAACGACAAACTTGCAGGAACAAAGATGGAAACAGTGCCCAAAGAGAACTGCTCCCAGTGCAATGCTTGCAATATCCCTTCCTCAGCTGATTAGCAGAAATCAGAATTCACAGGGCAGTCTAGGAGCACCAGCATGCAACAGACACAAGTGCAGGATGCATGAAGGTTGAAGGCAGGGGTCAAGGACCACCACGGCTCATCCAATCACTGGCACTTTTCACACGGCACAGTCCTCAACTATAAAAAGGTCCCTTCCCCGACCATGGTGACAACACTGGAAGCTCCTGGTCATCACTCATCAGAGAACTCAGTAGGTGCTTAATGCATGTTTGTTGACTATAGGGCACGTTAGGGGTACCCACAGGGAGGGTCTCGGCACCAAAAACTCCCAGGAGCACGGTCTGTGGAGAGGGGGTCTAAGTCGTGCCCTCTCGTGTTGTGCGATGGGCAGGCCCAGGCTGGGGGGCAGAGGAGCCCGCTGAGGCAAGGAAATAGACTCCTGGAGCCAGAGGAAGCTCTCTTTTCTGCTTCTGCCTTTGCCAAATCCAGTAAATATGTCTTTCTGGTCATTTCCCCTACCCCAGTTCAGCGGGAAGCTCTTGCCATGTTCAGCGGCCAGCCTGAACAATAGCAGGGGCTGTTCTGCTCCTGCACTCACTAACAATGGCCAAAGTATCTGAGCAGCTCAGAGAAATACCAAATAAAAATACTTTTTTTTTTCCTCTTCCACAAAAGCAGAGCTGCAGGGAGCAACATAATGGCCACTTCCTCTGCCAAGGAACTTGAGTAATGGTTTTCTGAATCTTTAAAACTGAGTCACTATTTTTTAAAATAGGGAAGGATTAATTATAAACCACCCATTGGCAAGTACTGCCTGTCACAGCCCTCCTTCACAATATATTTCCTCTAGAACCTGCGAACAACACTGTGTTAACTACGCTTTTAAAAGCACTGTATGCAGAATGATCAAAGAAATACTCATAAAGACCATAAGAAAATATACTTGCTAAAGTCAGAGTGGGCAGCACCACCCCTCCCCTCAAACCCACTCAGCCCTCTGCCTCCTGACCCAAATCTCTGACTCAGTACCCGTGACAGCCGGGTGGCAGTGGGGAAGCCTCATGTGTGACTCTCAGAACAAATAACATTCACAGAAGTGTCCTCTTGCTACCTCTGCCCTCCTCTCCAAATGATGGTGCTGGAAGTGATTTCTTTCTCTTCCCTGCGTCTTTCTGTAGTGTTTGAATTTTCTATAAGTTGCCTATATTGCTCTTATAACGAATATATATATATTCGTTATATAAATTTATTTATTTATATATGTATAAAATTAAACAGGCTAGATGGCCTGGGTCTGTCTGAGTTAGGATTTCTAGGAAGGAGGGAGAGGGTACGGCACAGCACAGTGGGCACTGAGGGATATCGGGGGATGAGGGTGGGTTTTTCAATACAAGCAGCTTCTGAGCACCTTCAGGCCAGACAGTGCCACTTTACCCTTGCACTGCTGAGTTCTCTCACTGTCACTGTCACTGAATTCTGCACGCATAGCCCAGCCTTCCCCTGTAGGCCTGATTCCCTAGTGGACACAAGACACCATCCCTGGGCTCAGCCTTGATTCCTCCCATCTGTCCCTGTTTTTCTGTTCCCTGGGAATCTGCTGGGGCCCTCCCTAAATAGGCCCCACCAAAGAGAAGGGCCAAAAGGAAGACACACAATGGGGAACCAGGTGAGGAGGGGCTCCTGAGAGCAGTCCTTCCTGCTCCTGGGAGATATGCCCAGTTGTTTTCATGCTCCCCGCTAGCCTGACACAGGCCTTGCATAGCAGGCCCTAGGAGACGGCGGGCAGGCGGGGGCGAAGGCGTGGCTGGTGCACACTCTGAAATTTAGCAAAGAGCACACAATCAACAGAGCATTTGTCCGTGAGCAATTGCTAGCATTTAGAGCCAGGATTACAAGCCTATGCCTGTCCCTTCTTTAAGAATTCAATAATTTTTGTGCACCCATGATGTGCAAGTTCAGAAGTTCCTAATCCAGGAAATAAAACTCCATATTGAAGTTACTGAGTATCTACGATGCACTGGCACTCCTTCCCGTCTTTTCTATATCGTAATCTTCTTTAAACCCCACAAAGCCCTAGAACTTAAAACTATCTATAATACAGGCCAACCTGATATAAATGTCTCCAACATACTGAGGGAACTAAGAAGAGGGATCAATTACTCTAAAGGGGGAAGAGAGATTTGATCGATCAAGGCCTTGATAAATGGATGGGGGTTTGATAAGTCGAGCCACAGGGAGTTATATTCCATAAAGAGAGAACAGCATATGCAAGGCATTAAGAACTGAGAGTCACTGGGCGTAATCCCAGCACTGCGCGAGGCCAAGGTGGGCAGATCACCTGAGGTCGGGAGTTCCAGACCAGCCTGACCAACATGGAGAAACCCCATACGAAAAATACAAAATTAGACGGGCGTGATGGCACACGCCTGTAATCCCAGCTACTCGGGAGGCTGAGGAAGGAGAATTGCTTGAGCCCAGGAGGCAGAGATTGCAGTGAGCTGAGATCGTGCCATTGCACTCCAGCCTGGGCCACAAAAGCAAAACTCCATCTCCAAAATAGTAATAATAATAATAATAATAAAAGAATTGAGAGTCACCAGGCACCGTGGCTCACACTCGTCATCCCAACACTTTGGGAGGCTGAGATGGGAGGATCATTTGCGCCCAGGAGGTTGAGATCAGCCTGGGTAACATGGCAAAACTCCATCTCTACAAAAAAACTCTAAAATTAGCTGGGCATGGTGACACATGTCTGTGGTCCCAGCTATCTGGGAGGTTGCGGCAGAAGGATCACTTGAGCCTGGGAGGTCAAGGCTGAAGTGAGCTGTGATTGTGCCACTGCACTCCAGCTAGGACACAGAGTAAGACTGTGTCTCAAAAAAAAAAAAAAACCGTGAGAGTTCTGGGGAGGGCTGGTGTCTGGAGTATCTGAAATGCAGTAAGGCGGGAAGGAGGACCTGCAGGGGAACATGGAGGGTGTTAGCACCCTCAAGGAGATCAGGCCTGACTCCACAGGCCGGGGCACCTTCGGTTCCTCTGTGGCCCCTTCTGAAATGCTATGCCTTTGCAACCCAAGAGCCTGGGTTAGGTTGGAGGCTGTCCTGTGCTGCCAGCTAGCCTGGACAGCGGGGACCCATGTCCCTGCTCAGAAACCCAGGCAGTGGGATGGGATTGGCAGGCATGAGCCAAGCCTGTCAAAATTATGTGCAGGCTCAATGACTTCCCCACTTCTCTCCACTGCCTCACCAGCCTCCAGGACAGGAGCATTCCATTGCTTCTTGTTTCTGTTCTCTTCCAATCTCCCTGAGAAAAAACCGACTGTCCCTTGCCCCTCCTTGGCTCCTGTGCACCATGAAGCAGTACAGAGGCAGGGTGGAGGAAGGGGCACCCAAGGACTGCGGCAAGGCCAGGGTCACATACGGGGAGGGAGCACCTTCAGCCCAGGCTAAGAAGGAATGGGATTCTGCAGAGAGGACAAGGAAGCACCTCACCTGGGACTAAGATCACAAAAGGAGGCAGTATTGCCTCCCGAAAACAAACCCCCAAGCTCCTCCTGAACAGTCAATGGCACTTGGTGTCTGGTCTGGTCTGGTCAGTTTAATCACTGACTATTAATTGTGTGGGGTTGGGCTGACACAAACATACAGTCTGCCTTGATTTGTTCCTTAACATAAAGTACATCTCAGCAGGATGCGGTGGCTCACGCCTGTAATCTCAGCATTTTGGGAGGCCGAGGTGGGTGGATCACTTGAGGTCAGGAGTTCGAGACCAGCCTGGCCAATATGGTGAAACCCCATCTCTATTAAAAATACAAAAATTAGCCAGGTACGGTGGTGCATGCCTGTAATCCCAGCTACTCAGGAGGCTGAGGCAGAAGAATCGCTTGAACCCGGGAAGCAGAGGCTGCAGTGAGCCAAAGGCTGCAGTGAGCCGAGATTGCACCACTGCACTCCAGCCTGGGCAAGACTCCTTCTCAAAAATAAATAAATAAATAAATAAATAAATAAATAAATAAATAAATAAAATAAAGTACATCTCCACAAGCAGGAGGCCCCTTGGTGTAGAGGAAACAGCTCTGTGCTGTCAGGCAACCTGAGTTCTATTCCTGGTCTTGTGATGACTCACAGGCAGCCACGGGCACGTCACTGCCCCTGGCAGAGCCCACTGGCCTTCTCTGTGAAATGAGGGTTCAGACTGTGACCTGTAGGACCCCCACGGACCCCCACTCCTGTGGTCTAGCATCCCATAGCGCCCAATCATTAGCTCTCAGAGGGCAAGAAGCAGACAATACTCAGCTTGAAAACACATAATTAATCTATGGATTTATTATTTTAGTAGTTGATGGCTTTGGGAGAAGGATGATGACCAGATCGTCCCACTGCCCTCAGAAAAATGCTTCTTTCTCCCTGGAGAGCTCTAGAGGAGGGAAAATTCCCACAACCTCCCTTGCCTCCTATTCCTCAAGGGAAAGAGAGCTTAGGTTCTAGTAACTCCCAGCAAGCAAGCCCGTATCTCCCTGTCCCAGTGGCCTAGGAATCTCCCTCCCAGGGGTACTGGGACCCCCACCATAGCCCAGACACCCCTTGGCCTGGGGACCCTGCAGCACAGCTCTGGGAAAGTGGGGTTCCTCCCTAGTTGGGATGTAAGTTTGGGTGCAAGGAACCCAAACAGCTTTGTTGTTTTTCTACTTTTTCCCCCTTTTCAAGTAAACTTGCAAATGTCAATAACCAGAGAAAAACACGCACACGGAGACACATATTTCTCAACTCTCTTGCAGCTTGCCGCGGCTCTTGCCAGCAAAAACAAGTTCAGCTTCCTGGCCCCGTTTATGTAAGCGGTGAACCAGCTGCCTGGCCTGCCACCGAGGACATAGACTTGGCTCGTGCCTGCTAATCCCATCCCACCACCCCGGTTTCTGAGCAGGGACGTAGGTCCCCGCTGCCCAGGCCAGCTGGCAGCACAGGAGGCCCCCCAGCCTGACCCAGCTTCTTGGGTTGCAAAGGCATAGGATTTCAGAAGGGGCCACAGAGAAACCAAAGGTCCCCTGCCAGCAATAATGGTCTTGATCTAAAAGTAGGTGGGTGCTGAGAAGCCTCCAGGAGAAGCCTGTGGGTACCTTGTGTCCAAATGGAAACAAATGTAGAATCTGCTCCCACGAGGGCTAGGACAAGTCCCAGGGCTCTTGGTCGCCTGTTCTTGCATTCTCCATCTTTGGACCGAGACTGGCTCCTGGCTTTGATGTGATGATAACTGTAACAATCATTAGCAGTTGGGACACTTACCCTGAGCCCTGGGCTTTCCCTACGAGCACACTACTCCTCACCAAAAGTCTTCCAGGGAGGAAGTCTTGTCCCCATTTCATTGTTGAGGCGACAAGAGATCAGAGGAGTTAGGGAACTTACCCAAATTCACACAGCTCACGTGTGAGGGAATCCATGCTGGACCCAAGTGAGCCTGGCCAAAGCCCCTCCCTCCTTGGCCCAGGTAGCTCTCCATACTCCACCCCCAGCTCCCTTCTCTGGGCTCCCCACCAGCCTCTCTCTCCCCCTCTCCCAATTTCCTCTCCTCTTCCCCGCTCTTCTCAGATCTTTCTACCCTTCAGAGCCCAGGGAAGGGAATGCTGAGGCTTGAGGACTGTGCATAAGTGGGGGGTCAGCACCACCACTGCAGCTACCAACCTAATGGGATACCGGGGGACTCTCAGGAGCCAGGAGTCATGCCCTTGGCCTTTCTTTCTCTTCCCCACAGCCGCAGCGTGTATAGGATGAGTTAGACCCTAAAACTGCCTCCCCTTGGACTCCAAATCTCGCGTCCTCCCCAGGTCACCCCATCGTCTGGGCCCATTCATTTCTCCTTAACATTTCAGAGGGCACCCTCGGCCACTGTCCAGGAAGAGGCAAGGCCGCAGGCTACGGCAAGTCAAGGCTCCCAGGCTCTAACCAGAGGCGCAGGGGCCTTCTCTGACTCAGCTCCCAGCCCCACCTGTCCACAACCCCCTCTTCTCAGATGACTAGCTCTGGCTGGCAGGCCTTTGCTCCCTCCCCCACATATGTATTTGTACTTCTTGTACCTGCTTGTATTTGTCTTGTATTTGGCGGAGTCAGTATTTACCTTGGCCTTGCCTTCCTCCCATCCACACCATGGACCGTATACTGCTAGAGAGAGGGTCTGGGAGGGAGGTTCTTTTGGACCCATAAACAGGTAATGCTCAATGCTGACTCAGAGACCCGCGTGCGCATGTGACCAACTCAGGAGATAAAACATTTAATCCTCCCCTGGGAGCATCAGAGATAACCACCTGGCTCCAGTCCAAGAAGGTCCAGCCTGGGTCAACTCTCAGAGATTATAAACTAATTAGAGGAAAAGATATCTAAGGCCGTGTGCTGCAGCTCACGCCTGTAATCCCAGCACTTTGGGAGGCTGAGGCGGGCGGATCACCTGAGATCAGGAGTTCGAGACCAGCCTGGCCAACACAGTGAAACTCCATCTATACCAAAAAATAAAAAAACTAGGCTGGGTGCAGTGGCTCACGCCTGTAATCCCAGCACTTTGGGAGACCGAGGTGGGTAGATCACAAGGTCAGGAGTTTGAGACCAGCCTGGCCAACATGGTGAAACCCTGTCTCTACTAAAAATACAAAAATTAGCCGTGTGTGGTGGCAGGTGCCTGTAATCCCAGCTATTCGGGAGGCTGAGGCAGGAGAATCGCTTGAAACCAGAATATTGCTGTGAGCTGAGATTATGCCACTGCACTCCAGCCTGGGCAACAAGAGTGAAACTCCGTCTCAAAAACAAAAAAAAAACAAACAAAAAATTAGCTAGGCATGGTGGTGCATGCCTGTAATCCCAGCTACTCGGGAGGCTGGGGTAGGAGAATCACTTGAACCCTGGAGATGGAGTTTGCAGTGAGCCAAGATCGCACCACTGCACTGCATCCTGGGCGACCCTGTCTGAAAAAAAGAAAGATATCTAAGGAGGGCAAACAATCCACTCCTTGGCCCCAACCTAACCCCAGGAGCAGAGAGAGAAATAAAGAGATGAAAGGCAGGACGCAGCAGGGCCTGAGAAGAAAGCCATTAGTACCTGCAGATGGACACACACAGGATTTTGGTCCCAAAAGGGACAGTGAGAAGCTACAGCCAGGGAGTGGGGTGCTGAGATGAGGAGTGCTATTTTAAGGCTATTCAGGGTTCTTAAGGACAACTCAGGCCAACCTACTCATTTTGGTGGATGAGGAGAACCATGGCCCAGAAGTCACGCAGCAGTGAACGATGTCGCCAGGACTGGAGCTGGGCTCTGGGACTCTCGGTCCAGGCTTAACACGCAGCCCTCTGCCTTCCCAGAAGTACAGCCTAAAAGGTCTTGTCTTCTAGCTCTGAGCACAGTCTCAGAGTGTAACAGGGAGGCTGGCCCTCAGTCAGATTTTTTTATGTGCTTCTGGAGGGCAGGGAGAGGGAGGGACCTGATGTATGCACCCGCATTCCATATCTACAGATTCCCCAGCTTCCCCTCCCTGATCCCTTTAGCTATGAGGCCGCAAAGCTGAAGATTTAAGAAGTCATGTGGAGGTGTGGATGGAGCAGCCGGTAGGGGTAAGGGGAGGTTGGAGGGGTGTGCATAGGGGGCTTTAGGGCTCCCCTGAGGATGCTTCTGTTCAGTTCTTACTCTGGGTGGTGGTTCCACACGTGTGTTCAGTTTGTGAAAACTCACCCAGTGTGAGACCTATGCTGACCACACTCTTCTGTAGGTGTGTCACTCTGCCATAGCACTTTTTCATACAGGCCCCAAAGTCCCCACTCTTGCATTCCAATCACTGCTGAGCCATCCCCACCCCCTCCCCACCCCATGTGCCATGAGCTTGGGTACACACATGCATGCACACACTGGTCCAGCTCACTCCACATCACCGTCAAGGAAGCAGTTCCGAATGGAAGTGTCACAGGCACATCTCCCCTCAGTGAGACCTGAATGTTGGGCTCTCCTGCCCCAGCTCCTCCTCCCTCATAAATAAGCCCCATCAGGCCTACCAAGAGATAGGAAGACTCGGCATTATAAATACGTCAATGTTCCCTAAGTAATCTCTAAAGTTTACTTGGCCAGGTGTAGTGGCTCATGCCTGTAATCCCAACACTTTGGGAGGCTGAGACGAGAGGATCTCTTGAGATGAGGAGTTCAAGACCAGCCCAGGCAACATAGCAAGACTCCATCTCAACAAAAAAAAAAACAAAAAACTTTTTTTTTTAAATTAACCAGTCATGGTGTCACTCACCTGTGGTCCTGGCTGCTCAGAAAACTAAGGGAAGAGGACTGCTTGAGTACAGGAGTTCAAGATTGCAGTGAGCTGTGATCGAGACACTGCACTCCAGCCTCAGCAACACAGTGAGACCCTGTCTCTAAAAATGTGAGACCTGTCTCTAAAAAAGTAAGAAGGAAAAAATAAAGCTACATAATTAAAACGGTGCAATACTGGCACATGGGGATAGGGAGACCAAATTAAGAGACTAGAAAGTTCGGAACTAATAAAAATAAAAAATAGTTCAGTCTGCACTACTGATCTGTATACTTTTTTTTTTTTTTTTTTTTTTTTTTGAGACAGAGTCTCGCTCTGTCGCCCAGGCTGGAGTGCAGTGGCCGGATCTCAGCTCACTGCAAGCTCCGCCTCCCGGGTTTACGCCATTCTCCTGCCTCAGCCTCCCGAGTAGCTAGGACTACAGACGCCCGCCACCTCGCCCGGCTAGTTTTTTGTATTTTTTAGTAGAGACGGGGTTTCACCGTGTTAGCCAGGATGGTCTCGATCTCCTGACCTCGTGATCCGCCCGTCTCGGCCTCCCAAAGTGCTGGGATTACAGGCTTGAGCCACCACGCCCGGCCCTGATCTGTATACTTTAAAGTGGTTATGATATATATATATATATCTATATATATTTTTTTGAGACAGAGTGTCACTCTTGTCGCCCAGGCTGGAGTGCAGTGGCACGATCCCAGCTCACTGCAACCTCTGCCTCCCGGGTTCAAGTGATGTTCATGCCTCAGCCTCCCGAGTAGCTGGGATTACAGGTGCCTGCCACCATGCCTGGCTAATTTTTGTATTTTTAGTAGAGATGGGGTTTCACCATGTTGGCCATGCTGGTTTCAAACTCCTGACCTCAAATGATCCGCCTGCCTCGGCCTCCCAAAGTGCTGGGATTACAGGCGTGAGCCACTGCACCTGGCTGATACATTTTATATTATGTGTATTTTACCCTATTAAAAAAAATAATAACTTAGTCTAAGTGCCTGCTACACATACAGGCAGTTTCTAAGTGTGCTGCATGGATTAACTATCTTGATCTTCTCAATAGTCAATTTGACAGAAGAAGAGACTGAGGTTATATAGCTAATTAGGGGTGACCCGGATTCAAGTCCAGACAACTGGGCCTCAGACTTTGTGCTTTTAACTACTCACTATGCCAAGAGGCAGTATAAACCCAAGTATACAGGAATTTGGTAGATTTAAAATGTAACTTTGAAAATCGGTGGGGGAAACATGGATTCAATAAACTGTAAAGGGATGTCAGGTGACAATTGGAAAGAAAAAGCTGGAGTCAGACTTTATACCTCATCCATAATATTAATGAGTTCAAAAATGGATCAAATATTTAAACTTTTGAAACTCTTAACAATACCAGAAAAGGAGAATCTTTTAAAATATTGGAATGAGGGGAGGTAAACGGTGCAGCCGGCGCCGTGAGCTCCGGGCCCATGGCAACCTAGGGCCCTGTCCTGCAGGCTGCAGATGGCAAGTACAAGCAACTCAAGGGTGAGTGGAACCATAAAAGCCCCAACCTTAGCAAGTGCAGGGAAGGGCTGGGCCGCCTCAAGCTAGTTCTTCTGGAGCTCAAATTCTTGCCAACCACAGGGACCAGGCTGACCAAACAGCAGCTCATTCTAGCCCGTGACATACTGGAGATCGGGGCCAGTGGAGCATCCTATGCAAGGACATCCCCTCCTTCAAGCGCCACATGGCCCAGCCCAAATGGTGCTACTTTGATTACAAGGAACAGCTTCCCGAGTCAGCCTACATGCACCAGCTCTTGGGCCTCAACCTCCTCTTCCTGCTGTCCCAGAAGCAGGTGGCTGAGTTCCACATGGAGTTGGAGTGGCTGCCTGCCAAGGACATCCAGACCAATGTCTACATCAAACACCCTGTGCCGCTGGAGCAATACCTGATGGAGGGCAGCTACAACAAAGTGTTCCTGGCCAAGGGTAACATCCCCGCCGAGAGCTACACCTTCTTCATCGACATCCTGCTTAACACTATCAGGGATGAGCTCGCCGGGTGCATTGAGAAAGCCTATGAGAAAATCCCTTTCACCGAGGCCACCAGATCCTTTTCTTCAACACACCCAAAAAGACGACCGACTACACCAAGAAGTGAGGGTGGGTCCTGGGTCCCAACAACTAATATAGTTTTGCCAGCCAGCAACAGGAGTCAGAAGACATTACCATTCCCTCCACAGAACTGGCCAAACAGGTCACCGAGTATGCCCGGCAGCCGAAGATGATCATCTGAGCCCACCAGGCACGGGGTGGGGCAGGGCACACATTATTTAAAACAGTTACAGTGCAAGGTTTCCTCCAATAAAGGTGGATTGACCTTCTCTAAAAAAATAAGTAAAATAAAATATTGGAATGGGAAGGATGTTATTAAGTATGACACAAAACCCAGAAGCTATAAAAAAGACTGGTAAATTCAATTACAGTTGGAAAAAAAAGTCTACAGCCAGGCACAGTGGCTCACACCTGTAATCCCAGCACTTTGGGAGGCCAAGGAGGAAGGATTGCTTGAACCCAGAGTTTGAGACCAGTCTGAGCAACATGGCAAAATCCCGTCTCTACAAAAAATACAAAGACTAGTCAAATGTGGTGGTGTGCGCCTGTAGTCCCAGCTACTCGGAAGGCTGAGGCAGGAGGATCGCTTCAGTCCCAGGAAATTGAGGCTGCAGTGAGCCATGAGCATGCCACTGCACTCCAGCCTGGGTGACACAGTGAGACCCTGAGAGAGAGAGAGAGAAATTTCATGGCAAAAAACCACCCCCATCACCAAAAAAAAAGTCAAAGACAAATTGGAAAAATATGCAACTCCTGTATGACATGTTAATATGTTAAGAGCTCCTGTAGGCCGGGCGCAGTGGCTCAAGCCTGTAATCCCAGCACTTTGGGAGGCCGAGACGGGCGGATCACGAGGTCAGGAGATCGAGACCATCCTGGCGAACACAATGAAACCCCGTCTCTACTAAAAAATACAAAAAACTAGCCGGGTGAGGTGGCGGGCACCTGTAGTCCCAGCTACTCAGGAGGCTGAGGCAGGAGAATGGCGTAAACCCGGGAGGCGGAGCTTGCAGTGAGCTGAGATCCGGCCACTGCACTCCAGCCTGGGCGACAGAGCGAGACTCCGTCTCAAAAAAAAAAAAAAAAAAAAAAGAGCTCCTGTAAACAATAAGATCAATGACCCAATCAAAATAAAATTAGCATTGAATATGAACAGGCAGGTCATAGCAGATTATGCAAATGTCAGTTACACATTAAAAAACCCATACAATCTTTTTCAGATAAGATAAATGCAAATTAATTCCACACAGAAGCCATTGTCTGTATAGATACCAGGTTAATAGCACACTTTTGGCAAGGGCGTAGGGACACAGGTATTCTCACGATGCTGCTGGAAGTATAAATCGGTGCAACTTCTATTCTCTCAAAATGACAAATCTCATGGCCTTTGCCCATCAATTCCCCTTTGGGGAATATATCCTGCAGGAGTACTTGCACTCACACAACAAGAGGCATATGCAAAGTTATTCCCCACAGCAGGGTGTGTAAGAACAAAAAGGGAACAACTGTAATCCCAGCACTTTGGGAGGCCAAGGTGGGTGGATCACAAGGTCAGGAGTTTGAGATCAGCCTGGCCAACATGGTGAAACCCCATTTTTACTAAAAATACAAAAATTAGCTGGGCTTGGTGGTGCATGCCTGTAATCCCAGCTACTCGGGAGGCTGAGGCAGGAGAATTGCTTGAACCTGGGAGGCGGAAGTTGCAGTAAGCCAAGATCGCGCCACTGTACTCAAGCCTGGGCGACAGAGCAAGACTCCGTCTCAAGGGAAAAAAGAAATGACTCTTAGGATCAATAACATTTATCAAGCATGCATTTTTGTCTGTTACAGTATTTTATACTTTTCTTTTTCTTTTTTTTTCTTTTTGAGACAGGCTGGAGTGCAGTGTTGCTGTCATGGTTCACTGCAGCCTCGAACTCCTGGGCTCAAGTGATCCTCCTGCCTTGGCCTCCTAAAGCACTGGCATGACAGTCATGATATACCACACCCGGCCTCAAAAAGTATTTTATACTTTAAAGCTTGTAGTGACTTGCCCAAAGGTCCCCTGGCTGGTGAAGCAGTTAATGAGGAGACAGGCCTGGATTGCCTGTCCAGAAAGCTGTTTTCTCCCTGCTACCTCAGCTGCCTCTCTCAGAGACAGAGGAAATTCATTTATAGTGATGTGGATTGTAAAACATTCCCCTGACCAAAAGTCCTATGAATAGATGTGGGGGACCTCAGCCACTCTCAGGGCTTGAAATAATATCTGCCAGCACGTGACTCCCACATTTACATCTCAAGCTCAGTCTTCATCCCCAAATTTCTGACTCCCATATCCAACTCCTTCTCAGTATCCTCTCTTGATTGTCTAGCAGACACTTCCATTTCGGCCAGGCGCGGTGGCTCACGCCTGCAATCCTATAGCACTTTGGGAGGCCAAGGCAGGCAGATCACTTGAAGTCAGGAGTTCAAGACCAGCCTGGCAACCTGGTGAAACCCCTTCTCTACTAAAAATACAAAAATTAGCCAGTTGTGGTGGTGTGCACCTGTAACGCCAGCTACTCTGGAGGCTGAGGCAGAAGAATCGCTTGAACCCAGGAGGCAGAGGTTGCAGTGAGCCAAGATCACTGCACTCCAGCCTGGGAGACAGAGACTCTGTCTCAATACAAAAACGAAAACGAAAACAAAAGACATTTCAGTTTCCATATGTGCAAAACTGGCCTCTCATCTTGTCCTGCAGCCCACCATCTATGCAATGGGGCCAGCACTCCTCTCACCTGAGGCTGTTTTGAAGATTACATGAGATCGAAGATGTCAAGGGCCTAGCGCGGCTACTTGCACACAGTTGACACACCATAAATGTTAACAGTTATTGTAACTGTCATATAGAGAGGGAAGACCAAAGGATGCTTTTCGGGAAAGCAGTTGGGAAGTGGAGTGGGAACTGATTCAGAGAACAGGTACTGGGGAGAATAGGCTGGATGCAGGGCCTCAGGGGCACACTCCTAAGGGTACAAACTACCCGACAGAGCTGGCAAGGGATGAGCAGGAGTCGGGGAGGCTGCTGAGGTCCAGCTAACATCAAGCCTGAACTCAGTGGCAGAAAAGCCTCTGCCTTAGCCAGGGACTTTTGACCTCTTCAGATCCCAGGCAAGAGGAGAGGGTAAAGAACAAAGATTAACTACACAAAAAAAAACCTCCCAGCTGGACACAAAGGCTCACGTCTGTAATCCCAGCACTCTGGGAGGCCAAGGAGGGTGAACTGCTTGAGCCTAGGTGTTCCAGACCAGTCTGCAACATGGCGAAACCCTGTCTCTACAAGAAATACAAAAAATTAGCCAGACGTGGTGGTGCACACCTGTAGTCTCAGCTACTCAGGAAGCTGAGGTGAGAGGTCTACAGGAGTAACATCCTGTATTCAAAAAATAAAAAAGGCTTTTCTTTGCCACCTTCCCCTTGCTACTCCAGCCCTCAAGGATCCCACCTGCAGACTTGCAGTTAATGACCTGGCATTTAGCACTTCCCTCTGCTAGACTTCAAGGGGCTAAAGGGCCGAGGACTTGTTACCCCAGAGATACCTCTCCAGGGCAGGGGCATCCACAGAGCCCTCTGCTCCAGAACATAACACATCCTCAGGTGGTACACATTGTTAAAGAGGAGGCAAGAATTTTCCTGCCCAAGACGGACATATAGAGAATCTAAAGATTTGTATATTTCCTTCAGATCTTCACTCAAATATTATGTTCTCAGCAAGGCCTTCCCTGGCCTCCCATCTAAGGCACCTTGCCACCCCACCCTGCCACAGACACACACGGGGCCTGTCTCCCTCTCGACTTCAGTTTTTCTCCTTAGCACTAGTCGCTAGCATACCACATATTTAATTTACGTCCCGTTAATAGTCTCCCACACTAGAAGGAAACTCAACTAAGCCTGGAATTTTTGTCTCTTTTATTCACAGTGTATCTCCAGCTCTTAGAATCGTGCCTGGAGCAGAGTAGGAGCTCAAAATATATTTTTGGAGTGAATGAATGATTACCCACACTTATTTAAGCACTTGCTGTGTGCTAGCGACTTCTGTAAACACTCTATTTAATACCTTACTTAGCTCATCTCATCTTCATAACCACTCTTCGAGGTAATACAATTATTTCTATTTTCTAGAACACTGGCTCTCAGAGAAGTCAAATCACTTGCCCAAGGTCTTATAATTTGTACTTGGCAGGGCAGGGCAGAGATGTGTCTGGCTTGCAGGCCTTAGCCATTACCTACACAAAATGAGCTGTGTTCAGGTGGAGGAGAGCAGCAGGTAGAGGGGGATAAAGGAAAAAGAGAGCAGAAAACCACTGGAAGAAACTGACTAACACTCAAGCCCAGCACTGGCCGCTAGGAGTTTCTGCAATGATGGAAGAGATCGGTATCTGCACTGTTCAGTACAGTAGCCACTAGCAACAGGTGACTGTTGAGCACTTTAAATGTGACTAGTGCAACTAAGAAACTAAGTTTTCTATTTGATTTCATTTAAATTAATTTACTTTTTTTTGGAGACAGGGTCTCCTGTCGCCCAGACTGGCATTCGGTAGTGCAAACATGGCTCCATGCAGACTGGACTCCAGTGATTCTCCCACCTCAGCCTTCAGAGTAGCAGGGACTACAGGCTCCTGTCACTGTGCCCAGCTAATTTTTTAAAATCTTTTTGTAGAGACAGCATCTCACCCTGTTGCCCAGGTCGGTCTCCAACTCCTGAGCTCAAGAGATCCTCCTGCCTCAGCCTCCCAAAGTGCTGGGATTACAGGCGTGAGTCACTGCACTGGCATAATTTAAATTTAAATAGGTACACGTGGCTAGTGGCTACCGTATTACAGAGCACAGCTTCAATCCAGACTAGATTCAGTGACTGGAAACGAGGTTGCTTGCTGGGTCTGTGGCTTCCAGGCCTGATGGGACGGGGATTCAGGAGAGGGGGGAAGGGAGTATATATTTTCAGCAGTGAGCGCCTAGGTTACTTTGTGTAATCTACGAATACCCAGGGAGGGGAGTATTTGTTTACCCCGGCTGCTAAGGCCTGGAGATGAGGCTCAGGGTCAGGATCAGTGTGCCTGCTGCCTTGGGATCTTGGTCCTCAGTCAAAGGAACTTCCTCTCTCTAACCACCCCCCACCCCAAGCCAGACAATCTGTTCACAGGTAGTTGGTACCGAGTGGCCCGGTCAGAGTCTGGGGCTTCTCAGTCCTTCTCAGGATTTACCCATGACCATTTTCAGGCTCCTTTTAGGGTGGAGTCTGCAGAGCTGATCCTACACAGGCCTCACAGGCTTTACACGGACTCAAGAAATGTTTGCTGCAATGAATAAACAAGCAGCAAGCCAAAGCAAGGAGAGATTTCTGGCAACAGAGAGCCCGAGGGGGGAGGGCCTTCATTCAGCTCCTCAACGACACCATTTAGGAAGCCGGCCTCAAAACTGACAGT